CATCACAAGAGCCTAGAGCGAGTAACTTATACTGTTCAGTGACGACGTTTTCACTATAGGTAATGGCAGCCCTGCCTTAACCACCCGGTCACTTGACTTGAAATTCATGATAACGCATTATGAACCTTATGAATATGTTATTAGAGATGTTTGTGCATACGACTTCGATCAGAATCAGATTCTGATTGACCCACTTTTCGATTCTGATTGAAATACGGGTTTTGCACACGGTGGCTGATATTAATTGGTATACAATACAGTAGATTATAACCGTATCATTAGATTTATATTAGAAATTTACAAACACATCTAATAATGATGATGATGATGATAATAATAATAATAAAATATGTTAATAGGAGTCTCATAACACTGATCGTTTATTTTGGGCCGGAAGTTAACATTTAATCTCAGTTGAAAATATAAGCACTATCATCGATTTATCATTGATTGGATGATGGTTTATTTTCAAAATTATACAGGCGGTCTCAGACGGTAATCTACGCCAGATATTATACAAATAATGAATGTTAATGAGTGCCATGGCAAAAATATATTAATGAGTTGGAAAATCGACTGTTCCATTCAACAGGGCTTCTCTCAGCCCTCTATATTTGATTGGTTGATGCAACATGTATTTAAAATAACATCTACAGGCTCTAATTGGCCGTATTCAAAACCTTATAATTGCCAATTACATTTACAAGTTAGGGCAAGTAAAAAATAGTTTCTCGTTAAAATTTTTTAAACCCAAAGCTAAATGAGGAAATTCATTTTCTCGGCAATTAGCTTTTTCAATCAAATCTTGTAAATGCTTGTAGCAAGCATCGATATAGACCAAATAGAGGAATAGGAACATTTAGAGTTTTATACTATTAGTAATTCAGAATATTCTATTCTAACACAAATAAGGACGACAATATTTGCTAGCAAAGTCGTGACGGAACCAAAAGAGGAAGCGATCGGAGATACGAAACTAATTTATTTTTTTAACTAATTGGCTTTCGGCATATCCCCTCTGTACCTGTTGAAACTATTTCTGATGTTGGTAAACTCTGCTTGGAGTTCGCGACAGCAATCACTGTTACCTCTACTACTTGTAGTCCTGGTTTTATACAAGAGCATTCCATACTACCAGAACCATTTACTGCGTTTACGACTGATGAAGCTGGAACACCACTTGAACAATTAACGACGAATTCTGAAGCAAAACCAGATCTCATTTCCCATTCCACATATATCGAAGCCACTGAAGATGTCTGATTTGTGAACATCACCACATCAGGTTCTAGTAATGATACAAACGTGATGCACTGTAAACCACAAATACTCAGAAGGTAATGTATGGTATGAGGGCCGATGTCAAGTAATTTTTTGATGAAATTATTATGTTCAACACGACCGAATGCAGTAACAAAGTCGATTATGCATACATTTTACATATGTTCTATCTTTAAGAATTGAATCTAATAGGCTAACTAATTTCGCCCCCAAGAATTCTGTCCCTATTCACGGTTATTTGTGGCCGGGGCGACATTTGCTGGGCCTTTTAGCCGTTTAAAGAATTGGGTCACCAGAGACCGTGAAATTTCATATAGACATTAGAGTTCAGGGCGAATTTACCCGCGGGCCGAAATTATTACGACACCGGCTCAAAAGCAAAGTACATACCTGTTGCAATAGATATAAACGTAGATCCTACAGTGCAGTTATCATAAAATGCTTCAACACTCAAATTAGCACGTTGTCCAGCTTCTACACCAATACAATATACGTTTATCGTTTCAGCAGCCTCAAATATTGTAGGAAACGGATCCCCAGCTGAACAAAGCGCTGTATACACAATATTTGGTGGCGCATTTGACATCATCTTGGCAACTATGGCTGATGTATTCGTTGTAACATCTTCGATCAGTGTTATATTAACAGGATCATCTGTAAAATACCATATCATATGAAATTGTAATAAGTATATGTCTACATTGATACTAAAAATGCAATGTGTCGTTGTCGCTGTATATAACGCATCTTCTCTGCGGATCCCAACATGTCGAATGC